TATATCATAATACATTCGAAAACATGAAGCCTTCTTAGTTACGCATGAAACTATATCATTCTCCTTTCCTTTCTATTTGACATATAATCACTATAATTAGTGATATTTATGATCATTGATTAAAATACAAGAAGGCCCTCTAAGTATAAGACTAGAGGGAGTTAATTCTCATCAAAATAATATCCTAAGATTAATATTCTCTTTTTATTAGTTATTTTCTTTAATCAGAATCTAATTAATCTTTTTAATATATATTATCTTAAGTTATTGAACTATATAATCTACCATTTTACTATTACATACTATAGACTGAAAGAGGAATAAAGAGAATAGTATATCATCATGTATCTTTCAATACTATTGAATTATAAAGTAAAGTAAAATAAATTGAATGATATTATATCAATATTAAATTATACGTCACTCGATTTACTTAATTGGTAAAGATTTTGATAGATTACCATAAAATGATATATTCAAATCTTTTATCTTTCGGACCGATAAATGCCAATCAATATACTTCAATACAACCATTTTATGTATAGTTATTAGTTGTAGTTGCTAGTAAGGTATATAGTATTACACATAGTGAATTAATGGTATATATATATACTGTACATAACATGATTGTTTTAATCGAATACATATAAGAAATCCAAAAAATATATTGATATGGTAATGATGTATTTGACTCATATATCGATTAAGGATTTAAAATTATATCTAACATATTCTAAAAATATGATATAAACAAGTTAATAAAAATGTTTTAGCTCAGGCTTCATCATCATAGTAAAAAGTAGATAATATATTTCTTCTTCAGGAAAAGAATAGTTTAATTAGTCAATTAAGAAACATCATCAAGGAATTAGAAAAAGAAGAAATCTGAAATGAATGTTAGCTATTCAAGCAAATATACAAAATCCAAAGCAATTTGAGAAGAAGTATGTAAGGAAGAAAGCCTAGGATCTTTCATATTCTCATTTCAAGCTTTGGTTACTTCTGATGTCATGAGTTCCCAATCTAGTTTTAACATTGATATTAATATTATTTATTTTGAATGGACAGATATGAAGGCATGTGCTGTGGACAAGAGGCATATACTCCCAACCCTCTTGATGGACCACAAATAATGGTTAATAGATGATTAAATAGTCCGCTATTAATTTGATGATGAAATATTTCTCTTTCGCTAGTATGATTGATGGAGATATGATACTCCGAGTCTAATTAATAATTTTATATTTTTAAAGTAAATTATTATTTTTATTAAGATAGATGGATATAAATGACATAAAATTATCCTAGTAAATTATGTCGTATATATTCTAACCCTATGAGATTTAGGAAAGAAAATATCGATTGATATTAACTTTTTACTGCAGTAATGTGTGTATACATTAAAGAAAAACATATGTGAAAAAAGTTCAATTGTTCTTATCTTTTAAGAAAACTGCTACTAATAAAGGAGTGTTGAGGTAATCCAGTCTACAGTTTCTATCATGAGAACCCCACTTTGATCTTCATCAGAAGAAAAACTCAGCTTGAGTAAATGTTGTTGTTGCCAACCCCCACTATATTTGTCAGATGAGTCTGTCAATCCACTGCAGCTGTTCCTTAAACCAAGATGGAGTTTCTTCAGGGTAGAACTGATGGCTATGTCAACTATCATAGTCAATGAATGCTCCCCTGACTTCAAAGTATCACATCAGTTGGGTAGAGATGATGTACAAGGATGTCAATCATGTATACTGCCCAACTTGGTTTCTAGTTCTTGTCCATATAATGCTACTAGAAAACCTCTCATCTTTCAACCTACTATTATTCTTCATTTTGGTACTAATATTCTCCAGTTTGGTAGGTGATGGATGTCCTCCATCTCCAATTGCCCAAACCTTCATAAGAATTGAGGGGATCATGCAGAATGTTATTGCATACATCTGAAAGTAGATAGTGACTTTGATGAAGAAAGGAGATATGCCATTTACAAATTCCATAAGAAACCTCTCCTCATAAATGAATGGATGAATGAATGGGTTAAGCTTAGTGGGCCAAACTATGCAGGAGGGAGGCATAAGTTTTCTATTTAGGAATGGAGATTGTGTTGGAGCATTTATATGAACAATGTAAAATTCCTATTTGTATGAAAGAGACTGTTCATTCCTTATTTCTACTTAATGATGAGATACAAGAAAAGGAAAAATTCAATTCTTCTTGATTGACACTCTTCATGTTGCTCAACTAAACTTTCCCCCATTGTTCCTTCATTTTTCACAAATTGGGAGAATGATTTATATTTTGGATTATTTCTTAATTAACAGTGCATTGCATGGATCTAAAAAAAAATACATGCTTAAGACCGTATTTGCACGTGGCTAAGTTATATTTCTTTAATTTCATACTAAAGCTATCAAATGTTTTAATTATAATTATATTAGTAGTATTATTTCTATATCAATTTATATGGATGATACTGTTAGAACATAAATCAATCATATTTAAAATAAATAAGATAAGGTTAAAAGAAACAAAAAAAAACCCAAAATCGTGTTTTACACTATCCTAAGCCTCATTTTTAAAACAGAAAAAGAATGTGAGAAAAATCTTTAAGAGAGGAAAATTTGAATAAATCTATCAGCTTTATAGGGAATTGTGAATAAAGGAAAGGAAAAAAATAAAAATAAAAATAAATGAAAAGTGAAACAAAAGAAGAAATAAAAGTGAGTAAATGTAAATGTTTGATATTTTCTGTTACTAAATCTTAACAATCCCCCACAAAATTTTAAAATATTTTAATATTAAAAATAATGTGAATAAATAAGAAGTAATGCTCAAACTTATACTATGTGGTTAGTGAGGTGCCTTTATAATAGTATATAATATATACTATAAATAATGTTCACTATTAAACATATAGTATATAATATATACTATAATAGTATGCATACTATAATAATATTCACTATTACACATATAGTATATAATATATAATATTATATTATAGGGTTGCTCATTTATAATCATGTGAATGTATGTTAGTTTATTCACGAGAGTTTTTAAAGATTATCCAAATCCCTAATTACGATTGTCTATATATACTCTAATATGAGAAAGCTCATGTAAAATAATATCTTAAGAAAAATATAGTTTTGAATCTGGATCCAAACAATGCTCTTTCTATCTCTCTACATAAGAGCACTAATCACCACCATAATATATTATATACTATGAAAGTGCTTGTAAGTGTATTCCTTAGTCAATCAATCAGTTTGTTATTTTCACTATATATTAGGTTTTTGCTAGAAGTTCTTTATCCTATTTAAAGTTTTAGTAAGATAATTAGTATGATTTTATTCAAATATAATATAATATAATATAAATAATTAAATAAATATCAGGCCACCATATAAACTTTTTTCTAACTTTATAATGTTTATTGATTTTTGAATTTATAATTTTTTTATAAAATTCTATTGCAGCTCTTAAATCACAATATATTGAAATTTGATAAAAAAATTTAAGCCATTCAACTTCTAAACATATGATTTATAATGCAATCAATTCAACTTTGAATGATAGATTGCTTAGTAGAGTGTCAACAGATAACACTACCACTTGAAGTAAAGATGTATCAAGAGAATCAAATATTTCAATTGGTATCACTATAACCCTCAAGTACATATTCTTAAATACTATCTCTTTAATATTCTTAAATACTCTTTCTAAAATATTTTAATATTTTATACTAGGATTGCTAGTATATTTATTTAATCTAAACATACTATAAGCTATGTCAAGTTTGATTCAGTTAAAGAGGTACATAAGAGATCCAATAATATAAGAATGTTTTTCTTAATTCATAGACTTACCTATGTTCTTAAGAGATAAACACTAGAGTCATAAAGTGTAGAATTAATTAAATAATTATCCAAACTTTTCAATAATTTTTGGGTATACTTAGATTGAGACAAAATGATCGAATCATATATGATCTTCATTATGAAAATCACATCTACTTCTCCAATATCTTCCATTTCAAAATGACATGATCAAAATATGTTGATTTCATTAATAATATCAAGATCACTAGTTCAACATAAAGATTAAAAAATTAAATTTATCATCAACTCTTTTGCAATAAAAATAATAATCAGATTCATTAGTTTTGAAATCAAAGGAAAAGATAACACTATCAATTTTTTAAGTCAATAAAATGTTAGAACTAGTTTACATACTTAGCACAACAAAGTCTTTTGGTTGAGTCATATAGATCTTCTCTTCTTAGAGATCATTAGAGGATGGCAGTATTTATATTCATTTGATGAGAAACCAGAATTAATTTAAAATTGTTATATATGTTAGTAATACCTATAAATAATAAGAGTGTTTATAACAGAGAAAATTTACAGTAAATAATTATTTTCTTTTACCAACTCCTTACAGCTATTTCAATCCTCTTTATATATATATATATATATACAAAATCCAAAGTTCCTCTTTTTTTAAGATAAAAAATTAGATTTTTTTTAAATCACAGAATATAAGTTTAAATCCGAAATATATATTTAAACAGAAGTTGTCAATTTCAAAAGTCAAGATTTAAAATATTATTTTTACAGTAATTTCGGAGTTCAAAATTTTTAAAAATTACAATTTAAAGATATAATTTCTAAAGTATATTATATTTAATATTATGCAGTTGACTTTTTGATATTATTCATAAATCAAAATTACCAGAAATAGTATAAATTCTTGATTATTGCTAAAAATGGAATAAACGATTTTTTTAATCTTTCTATCACTAAGATATTAATAATAGGATAGCAGAACGATAATGGAAATAAATGTGCCTGTCTAGTCGAAGACGTAGGACAGGATTCTACCACAAGAAATCCTGTTCCCTGCGTTACGAGCGACAGGCGATCGGAGCCACCGGATTTTGGTGTAACGAACGAATGATATGTGAGCAAAGTAAACACCTTTTTCGCGTCTCCCTTTTGTTTCTTCCTTCCTCGTTCCTTCGCCCCGTCAAAAGGGTCGGACGAAGACCGCCACAGCCTCGATCGATCCAGTGTGCTTTGATCTTCCAGTCCAAGGTAATGATAACCCTCGCTTTCCAGATCCGATCCCTCTGCAGATGCGTACGTTTTCTGGTTCCGGCTCGGCTGATGTAAGGCCAAGCGTCATTCTCTCTTCTCGATTTCATTCCTCTTGGTCAGGTCTGCCAATGACCCAATTTAGGGTTCCTTAAGTCCTCTTTTTGTTTCTCTTCCTCTTTTGTTGATTGATTTTAAGCGAGAGTACCTTGGTCGCGCCTAAGGAGGATCGATTTAAGTGGAATTTGTATCTTTATCCTATAGAAATATCTTCGTTTTATCGAATCTATTGATAGAGAAGTGCGGGTGGTCGAAGCTAGATTTGGCAGGGCAGGGCGACCAACATAATATTCTGGAGTTTTGTTTGTAATCTAGCAAACATGCAATGGTTGATAGTTCGTGGTGGGTTTTGGCTATTAGGAGCTTTTGAGTAGTACCTAGTCATTGTCCATCACTCATGTATTTGGAGAAGCATATGCAAATATGGATTTTTGGTTGTTGGCACATAACAAAAAGAGATTTGACCTCAACCTGATAAATTTGAACTCTGTAGAAATTTTTGCTCATGCGTAACATATGCCTGCAATCTGCTTCGATGAGAAAAAATCCTCATGATAGTAATGTAAGGCTTGGAGTGCTTCTTTCACATGTGCCTGGTTAACTTCAGAACAGACTAGTCCCATCTCTGATGAAGGAAAAGAGGTGCTAGCAGTCTGGCATAGGTTATATCCAGAAGCCAAGAGGTATTTCATAGAAGGGCTCCCGATCAAGGTGTGGACCTGCTTAGGTTCCCATGGGTTGAGCTTGGGTCCTTGATAGGTTGCATGTTTCTTTGGTGGAACTCATATATGAGAAGATATTAACTCTTGAGGAGTTCTTTGGGTGTTAATTGACAAAGCCAACATTATCGGACTAATGTAACTCAAAAAATGAATCTTCCTTTTGGAGTAGATACCATGCTTGGTGACATTATTGCCTTGGAAATCGACATGAAGTTGGAGCCTCTAAATGTCGAAATTGATTTTCAGTATTATAACATCAATATTGGATATTATAATAAATGACCTAGGGAACTTAATTTTTTTGTTTAACATCTATTTGACCACTCCATGTACGACAGATTTAAGTTTGGTAGTAGTATTCGGAGTGATTGTGGTTTGACTTCATCATGGTTGATGATAAAGGAAGTATACATGTTGAACTTTTTAATTAAAGTAACCACATCGATGGTGTGATCTATCTTGTCCACCTAAGTTAAAGTTTCATCATTGTAACCTGGAAAATTTTCAAGTTCTGTGCCGTATAAGTGTTAATCATTCCTCACTTTTGCAGAATAATTTTTGAAAAATGTTCTTTGCACTCCAATAAAGACAACTAACTTGGAACATGCAGAAGGATTGAACTTTGAAAGTTAGCCGAAATTGTTCTGTTATCTTCACCTCAAATTCCTTTATAATACCAGAAAGATGTTGGAAAAGATTGGCCTGCCAGCAAAGCCTTCAATGCGAGGAGGAAGTTGGGTGTTAGATGCATCACACTGTCAGGGTTGCGCATCTCAGTTCACCTTTATTAATAGAAAGGTATGCAACTTTTGATGTACTTCTTAGTTCTTTCTATAACCATCTTTTTTTTTCCTTTTTTTTCCCTATAACTCCTTTTAAATTAGTTTCTGTCAATGATTTCAGCTGTATAATCAGTTGGGTTTTAGTAGCTTGAAGTCCTAAAATAATTAGGCATACTTGTTTAGATTCTTATTGTCCTTAATCCTCAGTTGTTGTTCCATTTTTGCACCTGAATTTATAATAATGATGCTGTATCTATGCACACAAATAAAAGAAGAAAACTGGAAATGTCATTCTAATTGATGTCAATGAATTTAGCCTTCTTGCCCGTTTCTGTATAGTAATTTGCCTATGAATGAGACCAAACAGGTTTTCTTTATATTGTGCTTCAGTGGCTATTTAAGAAAAAATCATGAACAAGAATTAGTTACTAGAGATTAACCTCATCAAGATTGCCAAATATTAGGCAAACAATGATATAACAATACCAAATAATTTCCCACATGCTAGCTTGATTGTTAAATTCCTATTGCAATGGTGTATTAACTTTAAATTTAGTAATTGTATTATGGCTCTTACACGATCCAATTCCAATGTGTTAACTATGTAATGTCACTCACCAAAATCTAGTGGCTTAAGCTTAGCCTTATCCGTATACCAAGAAGCAATACAAGTCACAATCAGATATTGATCTTCTTAGAATTTTCTTTTTGCTGGTCACAAAGGAATCTTTTGTTTTTCCGTACTGTCTGTCACATAAATGTAATTCTACCTGTCGAAATGCATACTTGGTCACGGAACAAGCTTATTCTTGCTCTGTTGTTAACTAAATCATGCAAAGGAACCATTTTCTGTTCCACTTTCTAATCAATAATTGAACAGAACATGTTTTTTGTCCAATGATAGTTATATGAGTTATTTTGGAATTCGTGGAGAAATTTTATTCCTTTCTGAATGTGGCTTGTTTACTGGTTGGTTCCTTGGTTTTGATGCTAGATGTATCTATGATAGATACTATTCCTATTATCCTGATTTCTTATCTTTTACAAGTTTTCTGACCTTTAGAAGTATGCAGGCACTATTACAGTTAGACACAAGATAAGTAGTGAGTAGAACTTTCTACAACATTAAAACCTTTTTAATGTGTTGATCTGTTTCGATTACAGAATTTTGTGTTTAGCTATGTCGTGTTTTGCTTTACAGAATATTTTTGACGAAAAAAATGATCCTTCTTGACGATGTATTACTTTTATTGCCATAGCATCATTGTCGCAGATGTGGAGGTTTGTTTTGCAATACTTGCACCCAGCAAAGAATGGTTTTACGTGGACAAGGTGATTCAGCAGTCCGAATATGTGATCCTTGTAAAAAGATCGAGGAAACAGCACGCTTTCAGTCGAGATATGGACACAGAAAGCAAACCGCAAAGGGTTAGTGATGGTCCATACTTCTTGGGCAGTATTATATGTTTGTTTTATTGGAGTTCTTGAAGGTTATTGGCAGTGAACTTAGCTAGATTTAAGGTGATCATGAAGAATTCACTTGTCTTTGTTGAGCATCACGTGTAGGACTCATGATAAGTAAATGTCTTTGTATGCATTTCATTGCCAAGTTTTTATGTTGATTATTCTTTGAAGGTGAACAGTGTGCCAGATATCCTGGTTATGCTAATTGTTATAAATTTATCGTAGCTGTGAACTATCATACATCTGTAATATATCTTTTTAAGATCTACAATAAGTTTCTCTGTTACTTAGATTGTCATAATTCAGAATTTCTGCACTAGCTCTGATGGTTGACATCAGTTTCACAGCTTACTATTGAACTTTGTTTAAGGAGAACAATACCAAGCTTGGCATTTTTTCTTTTTTCTAAATCTGCCCATACTGATGGGAAGTGGTCTCGAACTCCGGATGGTGAATATTATGTCTGCTGTCTGATAGAAGCATGCAGCTTTTTGAGCAGGCTTCTTATAAGGATCATTCTAGGTGCTCATGATATGAAATCAGTTTCTTCAAAATTAGGTGAAGCTGTAGATGGTGATTCCAGAGAAAGAGAGAGTGATCCAAGAAAGATCAACGCCTTATGGAGAGTGATATGTAAGGACAATGAGGGGCTAAAAAACAAAAAAAGAAACAATGGAATTCCACTTCCTTTTTTACAGATATATCTTACAGCAGAATGTAATTGATATGTTTATCTAATTTTTTGGTAGATTAAGTTGTTAGTGTATCATGCAAAGAGATCCTGCTTCAAAGTTTGTTGGAAATATCAACATTTTCTTCTTATATTCCTTTTGCAGTTAACACAAAACAGGTCTTGAAGAATGAGGAAGAAGTTCTAGGTCAGATTCTGGGAACAGATGGAAAGCATCTATTGCTTTCTGAACAAGAATCAGACAGTGATGTGATTTCTGATCTCCAAAGATTATCAAGCAGTGCATCCTGCTCTAACTTAAGGGAAGAGTCTGCTTCTTCAGGAAAAGAAGAAGATATCGTTAGAGGCATGTCAGTTGATACTTGCAACAAGGCTAATATTGATATCATGTTAGGTGACCCAGAGGAATTGCGTCATCAAGCAGTAGAAGAAAAGAGAAAATATAAAACTTTAAAGGCAGAAGGAAAATCAGAGGAAGCACTTCAGGCATTTAAGCGTGGTAAAGAACTTGAAAGGCAAGCTGGAGCTTTAGAAATTGCAATTAGGAAGAATCAGCGAATGGCTTTAAAGGCATCAAATATGAGAACTGTTACTGCTAACCCAAAAAGCGATGGTCGTGAAGAGTCGGACAGTAAACAGAAGTTACCTTCTCAAAGGGATAAAGAAGCAAAGAATGACCTTGCAGCTGAACTCAGAGAATTGGGATGGTCTGATGTAGATCTTCATAATGCAGATAAAAAACCAGAAAAGCTTAGTTTGGAGGGTGAATTGTCAAATCTTCTTGCAGAAGTTACTCAAAGATCCTCTCAAGGGATGAAAAAAGGTGCTATTGATAAGTCAGAAGTCCTTGCTCTTAAGAAAAAGGCACTCTCACTGAAAAGAGAAGGGAAACTTGCCGAAGCAAAGGAAGAGCTAAAGAGGGCTAAAATATTGGAAAAGAAAATAGAAGAACAAGAGATCTTGGGTGAGGCTGAAGGTTCTGATGACGAACTGTATGCTCTAATTAATAGTATGGACGAAGACAAGCAAGATGAGTTAGTGTTGGACCATGCACCTGAGGCTAATATCAAATTTGACAACTTACTCGTTTTCTCAGATGATCTCCCTGCTGATGGCAATTTTGAAGTCACTGATAATGATATGAATGACCCAGAGTTAGCAGCTGCCTTAAAATCATTTGGCTGGTCTGAAGAGGATGAAGAACAAGTAGCCAGTCAAGATGAGCAGTCTGTTCCTTTTGATAGAGAAGCACTGCAGAGCCAAGTACTTAGTCTGAAGAAGGAGGCACTCAGTCAAAAACGAGCTGGTAATGTTTCGAAAGCATTGGAGATTCTGAAGAAAGCAAAACTACTTGAAAAGGACCTGGAAACTATGAAATCTAGTCCTGAAATATCTGAATCTGAATTTAAGCAAAAGAGTTTGAGCCGTCAAGTTAATGTTTCTGAAACAACAAGCTCTCATTTTGAGTCGCCACCAAAAAGTAAATTAATGATTCAGAAAGAGTTATTAGCTTTGAAAAAGCGAGCGCTCACATTGAGAAGGGAAGGTCGGATCGATGAGGCAGAAGAAGAATTGAAGAAAGGAAAGGTTCTAGAACAACAACTGGAAGAGATGGAAAATGCTTCCAGAAGACCTGAACCTAAGCTGGTAAAGAACAATCTGGAGTTTGCTAAGACATATGAGGGTGGTGATGCCAGGAGCTTGGATCTCGGAGAGGAAGGATTTGAAACTGAGGTAACAGAACATGATATGTGTGATCCTGCAATGTTGTCGCTTTTGAAGAATTTGGGATGGAATGAGGATGACAATGCTGAAAATGTCAGCATGACAAATATAACTTCTAAACGGATGAACGAACCTTCTTTGGTTCCACCGAAGGTGAAGAAAAACAAGGCTGACATTCAGAAAGAACTGTTAGCAATAAAAAGAAAAGCTCTGGCCTTAAGACGCCAAGGAAAGTCTGAGGAGGCTGAGGAAGAGCTCGAAAAAGCAAAAGCCTTGGAGAATCAAATGGCAGAAATGGAAGTCTCTAGTAGTGCCAACTTCATGGAGATGGATTCAATTGATTATGGAACTTCGATTCCACAAAAATTCTACGGCAAGGAGCAAGCTGCTGGTGATGTGCGAAACACCTCTGATAGCCTATTATCATTTGCAGTTAACAAAATACCAAAAGATGAAGCAGTACTAGTACAAGGTGTGTCTGATGTTGGTTTGAATGCAAAAAGTGACAAAAACAAAGCTGCAGAAGCTTCTGTCATGGTACCTAAAATTTTGCAAACAGAGAAGCAGATGTTGCAAAAATCAGGTCTACAAACTGAAGAAATTTCTGTAGAAGATCCGATTTTGCATCAGTCGAACCAATCACTTAATTTGGTAGAATTAATGTCTGGCAGTGATGTTAAAGCTTTGCACTCATCAATTAGGGAATCAGTAAAAGGAGAAGATACCGATGCCAACGAGAAGAGCTGCTCTGGGAGTAGTAAACTTTCATGCACAATAGATTTTCAGATATCTCAGAGAAACGAAACAAATGCCACTGGAACTAATATATCGGCAGCACAAAAACAGAATTTGACACATGGGGTTGATGCTCTCCAGGATGAAATTCTAGCACTCAAGAGAAGGGCTGTTGCACTGAAGAGAGAAGGGAAGCTAGCAGAAGCCAGAGAGGAACTGAGACAGGCAAAGCTGTTAGAAAAGAGTCTAGAAGATGGTCAGCAGGCCAATGTGGTCAAGGAAGGTGCTTCATCTTCTACATCTGACAACACTTCTTCCATGCAAGAGAAAAGAACTAGCCCATCAGCGAAACCAATGTCAGGCCGTGATCGTTTCAGGATTCAACAGGAATCCCTATCGCACAAGCGAAACGCTCTCAAGTTGCGTAGAGAAGGAAAGATAGATGAATCAGAGGCTGAACTTGAATTGGCCAAAGCTTTGGAAAAACAGTTGGAAGAATTTGACCAAGGTTCAAGCACCATGATGTCTGGCAGCAAGTCAGAAGCGATGGAAGACGTAGTCGTGGAGGATCTTCTCGATCCTCAACTTATGTCTGCCCTTAAAGCTATTGGATTGGAAGGTCCTGCTATTACCAGCCAACCACAACCACATAATAAAACAGAGTCCCAGCCAAACTTTGACAAGCGTGAGAACCATGGCATCGAGAAAGCTGCTCTGGAAGAACAAATCAAGGCTGAGAAGCTCCGAGCACTCGATTTCAAACGGGCAGGTAAGCAGGCTGAGGCTTTGGAGGCTCTTCGTTCTGCCAAGCGTCTTGAGAAGAAACTTGCATCATTGACTTAGCAGCTCAACTGGAAACAATTAGTGTTCTTACAACCCAATGCCCAACTGATAGCTCACAGATGGCCATTGCAAAAATGTAGAATTCTTTCAAAGATAAAATCCATTTTTGTTCACTATCGAAATGCCCAAAAGTTATACTAGTGGAAGAAACTTGGTTGATCGGATTGCAGGAAATTTTGTGTGAAGGCTATTTGGGTTGCAACTTACCTCGGTTCTGGAATACAAGATTCATGTGGAAGAATTAGTGAGGGAATATGGTATTGAAGTTATTGTTAGTATGTAATGTTATGAACAGAGTCAAATTTCTTATCAATAAATGATCTATGCATATGGTAGTAATACTGTGCTGGTGGATATTTAGATTTCGTTGAATCCATCTGTTTGGCTTTCCCAAAAATTCAATGGCAGTGATTTAGCTTTCAAAAAGTAAATTAATATGTTTATTTTTCATTAGCATTTTCTAAGATTTTGTGTCGCTGACCTTTTAAGTGCTCTCTGCACTCTGCTCTCTGCTCTCGTTGCAACGTCACACGCTTCTTCCCACGTGCTCGAACTAAAGCCCGTTGCACTCCCAACTCCACTGAGATCGGGTAAAACCGGAAAGTAGAAAGCTAAAATCCACCCGCCAATGATACGCCAGCCTCCAACGACTGGGCCCCGCTCGATCATCAGGTAACAAGAGGAGTTCGTTCAGATCTCTCCCTTGGGTAACCGACGGGGGTAGCAATGAAGGAGCGGAGGATCTACACGCTCCTCGGCCTCCTCCTCCTCGCCGCCGTCGGCTACCTCAACTGGTCATCGAGCGGCGGGGGCGGTGGCCGCGGTGGCGTCCGGATACCGATCCCGTGGCTCCAGCCGAAAATGGGTTTCGTCGGCAGGAACGGGACCCGGTTCATCGACCTCGAAGACGGGTCGCCGGCGTACGTCAACGGATGGAACTCCTACTGGCTCATGTCGTCCGACTCCAGCGATCGGGTGGTGGAGATGCTCCGGCGTGGGAGGGCGATGGGGATGTCGGTGTGCCGGACCTGGGCGTTCAGCGACGGTGGACCCAACGCGCTCCAGATCTACCCTGGTCACTTCGACGAGCGGATCTTCCAGGTTTTGGATCTCCCATCCTATCTGCTTCTGCATCTTTCCTGGTCTCATGTATTCTCTTACAAAGTTGGAATCTTTGAGTGGATTGTCGGCTTCAGATGGGGAAATAAAGTCTCAATTGCATTCTGTTTCGAAAAATCTTGAATCGTAGCAATGGACGATGCCGATACTGACCTACATGAGATATTGGTGCACCTTATACCATTAATTGAACATTTATAATTGAAATCCGTGTTGGCTTTAGCTGATGAAACTTTTCCCATTTGTTCCTCTGACGACTTCAGAGAATGGCTTAAAATTTGTGATGGCTATCTATGAGAAAGAACATAAGTTTCCTTGAATTCCACTCTTAATATATATGATAAGAAGTCTTCCAATGCTGTTCTGTTTCTTCTACTTTATATACTCTCACTGTCTTGTGTCAAATTTTTTTATAGCATCAGTTCGATCTTTTCTTGATAGTGCTTGCCTCTGAGTTGATTTTGTAGTTTTTTTCTGATAATTGTATTAATACTATTCAACTGGCATAGAATTTGATCATGATAAGCAACATCAGCACATTAGACACGACACAACATGCTGAATCAAGTAAATAGATACATGATAAAATGTTGCTCTGTTTTGATAACTACAACTAGGTACCATTGCAGGTAACTAGTGCTTATGAGGTAAAAATTGATTTAAGAAGATAATTTTCAATCAGTTTATGGTGTTTATAGCAAAAAAAATTGTTTTGTTACTAGAATATTGAGCTATCAGCATCCAGTTTCAACTTCAGCATTATTCTTGCGACGGCACTGGCTTCTATAATTTGGTTCTTTCCTAAAAGGAGACCATATTTGTTTATAACTCTGTTTGGTCTCAGGCACTGGATTTTGTCATATATCAAGCAAGGAAGCATTACATACGGTTAATTCTTTGTCTTGTAAACAATCTTGGCGCATTTGGGGGAAAATCTCAGTACGTTAGGTGGGCACAAGCTTCTGGGATCAATGTGTCAACTTCCACAGATCCATTTTTCTCGCATCCAACCATCAAGGGCTACTATAAGGATTATGTTAAGGTATACTGGTTATGCACATGTGATTATCAGAGTAAATTGGATCAAGATGCTAATTTTCTTTGTTGTGAATTAATAGTATCTTGATGAGATTCCTGTTCAACACTGGTGCAAATGTGAAACAGATGATTGCATAGTGATTTATGGTCTTTTACCTGCAAATAGTTAAATCATTGCTCAATAGTTGCTCTAGTGAACATGAGGATGGTTATACCAGATGATGGTACTTAGTTATTTTCGAATCCTTATCTAGTGCCCAACCATTTTAATATAATGCGTGTACAGGCAATAATTTCAAGAAAGAACACATATAGTGGCATCAGATACCGCGATGAACCTGCCATATTTGCTTGGGAGCTCATTAATGAGCCTCGATGTGAATACAATTCATCCGGTCCACTTCTTCAGGTAATAAAACAACCTATGAATTCTTAATTCGCTTACTTTTCTATTAGTTTATTACTTTATGCCAGTGTGTAAATTTCTCAAGATCAAACTAGCGATGTGAAAGTACAAATGCTTAATTGTTATGACTGAAAAAAGTTTCAAGAAGTTTAACTCTATCAAGCACTTCTAACAGGCCTGGATCGCTGAAATGGCATCCTATGTAAAGAGCTTGGATGAGAAACATCTTGTCACAGTGGGGCTTGAAGGGTTTTATGGACCTGCAAGGAACGACCGGTTGGGTGCTAATCCAGGGTCATGGGCAGCTTCACTTGGTTCTGACTTCATACAAAACTCAGCAATTGAGAATATTGATTTCGCTTCGGTACATGCATATCCAGATAGCTGGTTGGTGATGGTGACCTTCTTGGTTTGGTTTCATTATATGACACTTGCTATTTTGCACTTTAGCATTGAAGACATGTGACCATTACTTGTAGGATTCCAAAGGCAAGCCTGGAAGAAAAGGTTGAGTATCTCTCAAGTTGGGTTGATTCTCACGTCAATGATAGTGAGCATGTGCTAAAGAAACCAGTCCTCTTCTCCGAGGTTGGCTCCCATTTGCGTGTAAAGAAAAATGGGACATATGACAGAGACATATTACTGAAGATCGTCTATGACAAAGTATACGAGTCAGCTAAGAAGGGGCAAGCTGCAGCGGGTGCTTTAATTTGGCAATTGATGGTTGAAGGAATGCAGAGTTATCAGGATGAGTTCTCATTGGTAGCAAGCGAGCACCCATCCACATATAAACTGATAGCACAACAATCTTGTCGACTGAGAAACTTGCACATGACAAAGGATAACACAAGTAGAGAAGTTGTCCAGAGCTGTTTGGAGCCACCATCCTAAGGATCGAAGACTTCCAACCAAGGTAGAAATGGCTATTTGATGACATGATCAACGACGTAGAGATTTGTTTATGAAATAGAGAGAGATTAGATTTGACATCCTGCGAGCTACCACCAGAAGCATTCAGACAAGAAGACCAACTACTAGTTGGAAACGATTGCGACAAAGGATGGAAAGGATTTGTATGTTATTTTTCACTGGCACACATGATGGATTTTTTTCCATATTAGAAGAGTATGTAGCACATGAAGACAACAAACTTATTCATGATTACTTGTAATTACTTGTGAGAATAAATTGATCAATTCCTTGTTTTTTGTCCAAAAGAAATATCACATCTGTTCTGAAATATACACTCATGCATCTTGTTCAGTGCTATTCCTTCTCTCATCATGTGTAACCTATGTACCAGGAGCTAATGTTTTAACACATTAGCATCAAACAATCCAGCATACCTCGTTCAGAGCTTGGGAGTTGTAAATCATCCCAATCTAGCATACATTTGCTGAGAAGTTCTACAGATTTCTTAGTTATTCTCTCATGGATGGAACCTAATTCAACAGTTCTTTCATCTTTAGGAGTATAACAAGCAGATAGCATATGGTCATTTAAGGATTAGGCCCTCCATTTAAGACCGATAGTCCCACAAGAAGTCAACGGGTGACCTTTCCGAGCCCTACTCAAGGGCGCAATATCTGCCGCATAGTTCTGGAAGAACATAAAAATAAGCCCTCAACACAATCTACCACGCACAAAGAAAACATATGCAAGATGCTATATTTACAGCAATTAAACACTAATTCGATCATTCCTATATCACTACTTCCCAAAGCATCTAAATCCAAATCTCTTTGGCCTCCTCCAAAAGGCAAAACTAGCAGTTCAACAACATCGGTACTCAACCACATGGAAAACCGGATTATTGACTGTAATAAGCTTGATTAGTTTAATGGAAACCCTTCTATAATGAGTCCAAATACATCATTATATGATCATTACAGATTACAAGGTTGCTCGGCCAGTGTGGGGCTTACATTGCCGACAACAACGTTCGATTTCTGACAATAGGATTCCATGCTCGAGTGATTGCTGCTTCGAAGGAAGCTTTCATTCATAATGTGAAGAAGACACGGAAATAATAATACAAGAGTGGTTGGTGCAAGAGACAATTGCATCTGCCTATACGAAGAACTGATTTGCTCAAGAAATGAAGAATCGTTGCATTCTGATGTGATCAGAAACTTTTATGCTTCAGCTATGCTATCTTATCGGACAAAGAGAGAAGAAAAAGATCATAATCATGACTGCCAATTATGCTTCGACACTTTACTCAATCCAAGTGAAACAAGATCTACGAAGAGAGTGGATGATTGAAGGACAACTCGCAGCATTCTCGCTTGGGTAATTACTATGTACCTCCGCTTACACTTCCACACAGACATCAAGACGTATATACAACATTTCTTTCCATCTGATTCTAATTCACGAAGGCAGGCACATATATAGAGAGAGAGAGAGAGCGACACTGCTTTGCAGCACCTGCCGCCGAACTCTTATCTGCTAACAAGAAGAAACAGGGAGAGAGAGAAACAAGCAACAATAGGAGCAGAAGAAATGCCTGGCTTTCCCATGTACGCCATGGAGGCTGATGTATTCTGACCAAAATCACATGTCACCAACGTGGTTTTCTCGCTGAGAACCGAGGAGAGATGGCTTCCGGAGCGAGTGTGGTACCTGAGGAGGGAAGCCTTCTGCAGGATGGAGCGTCCTCCTCCACCTTCATACCTACTGCTGAGAGCGGAAGGAGTGAGAGAGGCGAGGAAAGACGACGAGGAGACAGGAAAGAGAACAGTACTTCGGTGGTACTTAATGGCTTCACACTCCCTTAATGGTTAGCAAAATTTCTCTTATTTCATGTTAAATAAACCCCATATGACAGCAGACACATACGAGAAAATTGCGGCAGTATTAAGAAAGAGAGAGAGAGAGAGAGAGAGATGGGTGTTCCCAAGAAAGAAGATGACGACGAGATCTTGTTCTTGTTTTGCTTCGAATTTACAGTGCAATGAATGATTACTTAAATACCCTTAATTTAAATTTATTTTTATTATTTACTTAAAAACTTAATTAGTTATTATTATTATTTTATTTTTTTTGCTATATATAATTTAAAATCATTTAATATATTTTAAAATATTTTTAATCAGTTCTTATAACTATGGATAAAACAAACAATCAAAGAGGACGAAATTGGGTACGATTGTAATAGTATTTTTTTAGATTAAACAAAACAATATATTGTTCGATAAATGATCGATTAGGAGTACTAAATTCTGTGATCGTACGAATTGGGGAGGGGCATGTGGGAGCCAAGAATTAAAATGTGTGATGGAATATATCGGGATGAGGAGGTTGAATTATTGGGTTTCGGTTCCCACGTGGGGGCCTCGTGCTCCGAACCCACGGTTGCCGAGTCGGGGATCCAGATCCGACAACATCGGTCGGATCCAAGCCCGGTTTGGAGGAGACGTCGGGACCCACCGTACGAACACCATGAATAATTTAACGGGTACACGATAAGGGTCTGTCCTCGCGGGCATTGCAATCGAGAAGCAGGTGGTGGCGTGTCGAAGATCCAACCGCCCAATTTGATCAAGATCACCGCGTGCTCCGACCTCATGGTAGTCCTGACCTCCGTGAGAAGCAGACGTGAAGGGATGGTTGCTCGATGAAGTCTCTGCGAACGCCTACGTGCATGCGACATGCACGTATCTGCGGGGTGAGATCGTGCAGTTGTTTGATATGAATTTACGGTAATTTTTGTTATTGAAGAACGCTGTGATTAGACGTCAATTAGCTCGAATCACTATCAATCTTGTTATATATTTTAAGGTTGGATGATTTTTCTAAAAAAAAATTTAGGTTTTTTTTTTGGGAAGGTTTCTCTAGTTTTCGTATTACTATTTGAAATCCTATTTTACTATTTTATAGTCATATATATTTAATTTTTTAAATATTTTAAAATTATTTTAAATGAATGAAAATATGTGTTTGATATTCTTCTTCTCGTCTTTTTCTTCTCCTTGACAAATGAGTTTAGACGATGTTAACAATAACAATGAGGGTGTCGATAAGGAATGATCGATCAAGAGGAAGGGAGGAGCATTAACATTAGCTAGGAGAGCAAAAGAAAAAAAATATATAAATAATAAAAAAATATTATTTTTGAAGTAATTATCAATAGCAAAGAGCTTGTTAATAGTAAAAAATGATAATGAATAGTAAGCTAATTTAGTTTTCTAATTTAACTTTTTCTCTAATATCCTAGTAAGCTTAGTTAGTTTTTTAATTTAATTTTTTCTCTAATATCATAAATATCTATTGTCATTGTATATAGTCTTTGTTGTCTTTGGTCAATTACGTTTGTGGATATCATAAGATCTCTGTGTGATAAAGTATGAAGAGGAAAGAAAAACAGAGGATGGAGTTTTTCAACAAGATAGAGGCAATAGGTTATGACAAGAGACATTTAAAATATTAGAAGAAAAAGAATATTAAATAAAAAAAATAAAAACAAGGAGCACCTTATTGGAAAAGCCTAAAAAGAGAGGTGTTTTTAAGAAAATCATCCTTTAAGGTTTCATAGAATTACTTTTATGAAAATTCAAATGGTTTTGAATGAAAATTATGATTGTGTTAACATATTTTAAAATAAAGGATGATAAATTTTTTTTTCACAT